AGCCCTTTGAATCCCCGCCGCGGAAGCTGGTGCGGCCCGGCACGGTGTACTGGCTCTTGCTGGTACTCCGTACCAGACCATACCGGCTTACTTTCATCTCTGAGCATGTTCTGCAGGGGGGAGGGGCTACCTGGGCCCAGTAGTGTCCTTAAACTTTTCCGCCCAGTGTGGAGTTTGTACACTCCATCACACCAGGCTTTACATAATATTGTTAACACACTAGGACAGCATGTACTATAGTGGCTCAGAAATATGCTGTCAGTGATTTACAGCTAATATGCATGAAGTATTATGGTGCTGTTCTTGCTATCTGTGATACATACATGCTCTTGATGTGTCTTTAAAATGCTGCACATTACATATCATGATGCTATTTCATTACATGTTCATGAGAACTTATAGGCCAAGTTTCTGCTTGAAGCTAATTTTAGCATCTGATTTATTATTTTTTGAAAAAGACATTAAATACAGATCCTTTAACCATTGGCAGGTGCCACTCTAGTATTTATTTGAACTCTAGCTATTGAGGCTGAACTAGCATCATGCAGCGTTATGAGATCAGATGTGTTTACTCGCTTTAAATAAATCAAAGCCTATGTTATACTCCAGTAGTTACAGAGGGGTCTGGTCCTATTTTAATTACCCACTGGTGTATTCACTTATACCAGCATGCTGACAACCTTTTCCCTTGAAGTTCACTGTCATCATGTGATATCCTCTTTCTCCATTGGGAACAACAATGTATGTTCTTCTTTTCCTTCATATTGTGCAGGTATGTTTATACTTCTGTCAAAATTCTTAAATGAAAGGGTAAAAATATGTGACTAAAAAAGATTAAGGAAGGGTACTGGCATGCTTTATGTTTGCAGGTTTTGCAATACATCCTCTCTGCTATCTGCCTTTCTGTCTGCAGAGGATTTGTAAGAAATCCTACCTGGGTGTTTCCTATGGTCTGTTCTGCATTTTTGAAGAAATTGTGCTTCAGAGGTTGGACTTAGATTATCTAATTGTATGTTAGAACCAGTGATGTGCATGACAAACAAGAATTACAGGAAATATTTTCAAATGCTGCATGTTTCAAATGCACAAAATATTCAGACAAGATGTAAAATCTACACAAATCTACTCTGTCTCAAATTAGCTGTTTTATGCCCTTTAATTTCATTTTTTAAAAATCTGTATTTTTGAAGATGCCTTCCTAAATTATTAGGTTCTGCATGTTGTATTTTACAGGTTAATCTTGCTGGACAGTCTGGTCAGTACTCTGAATTTAGATTATAAGAACACGAGACCTTTTTGGTAATTTTCACAAGATATATTTTTAAGATCAGAGAATTCTAGCCACTCTGATTTGAAAAATCCAAGTTTCTTTAAAAAAAAATGCGCGTGTGTGTGTGTGTATATACACAAATATAAATATAAAAATATTTATATTTATAGCCAGGAAAAAGTGGGGGACATGGGAAGGGAAGGAAGGTAATATGCAATAGGAAACAATATGCTTATAATAAGCCATAAGTGGAGGTTAACACACATTCTGGACCAAAATAAAACATCAACTTTCTCCTTTGTCAAGGCTACTTGTTTTATTTATAGATCCATGTGATTTGTATTGGGAGTCGGGTAGGGAATTAAGTCTTTAAACATGAGATCGCTTTGGTCTCCTAGGTTACATACAGTAATAGTTGTACAGTTATCCATGAGGTTTCACAGTAGTCACCATAGAAATATTGTTAAACTTTAATTTAGTAATTTGAGCTACTTTATGAAGAAAGGTTTTGATTTCATTTGCTTTCTGTCCATTGCGAAATAAGTACAAAAATTTGATGTGAAGAATCTCCTCCTAAAAACTTCACTCAAAATACTGCACTACTAAATTAAAAAGAAAAGTAAATCAAGACATTTTGAAACAAAACTGCATTCCTCTATTATTTAGTTTTCTTTTTTTCTAATTCTGTTCATCTTACAGAACTTCCTGCTAGTAAAAATTACGAGCTAGGAGATAATGAATGGGTATTTTGAAGCAGTCATATTTGATATTTTCAAATGGAGGTCCTTGTAGAAGATAATACTGTTACTCCTTTTGATGCAAACAGCCAAAATTCGGAGTTTTGTGACAAAATTTTTGTGGGTTGTTTCTGTTAAATGGAGAAATTGATGATGGAGTCAGATATTTCTTTGATGCAATCCTGTTTTATTTACAATTAAAATAAAGTACTGTTTTCCTGGACAAAATATAAATCTAGGGTTACCATACGTCCTCTTTTTCCCGGACATGTCCGGCTTTTCGGCAGTCAAACCCCCGTCCGGGGGGAATTGCCAAAAAGCCGAACATGTCTGGGAAAATGGCAGCTCTGCTCCTCCCCGACTCTTCGGCTCTGTTTAAGAGCCGGGCTTCCTGAGCGCTACCGGCTTCGGGCAGCCCCCGTGCCTCCGGACCCTGCGCCGCTGGAGACCAGGAGGGGAAGTGCCCGGCTGGGGGCACAGGGTCCGGAGGCATAGGGGTTGCCCGAATCCCAAGCGCTACTGGCTTCACGGTTTGCCGGGCAGCCTCCAGACCCTGCGCCCCCGGCCGGGCACTTCCCCTCCCGGGCTCCGGCG